TTCGTTTAAAATTTCTTTAAACTTTAAAGCAAAAGAAAATATTTTTTTTTTTCATGCGAGGAAATTAATTAGTGGATTAGTTATTTTGAGAAAAATAAACTACAAAAATCCGTGTTTAAATTATTGCGAAAAATCAAGGAAGAAACATTTTGTCAAAGAATGTTTCTTCTTAACATGTGTTCCTAAATTTCCTGCACATATCACTGAGAGGGAAATTCTGGCCGCCAGGTTCCGTCACAAAATCCTTAGGCGAATTTTCCTTCCGCTTCTAGCGGCATAATAGCATTACGTCTATGGAACCTTTCCTTCTTTACATAGACGTTCTATGTTAGATATAATGACATTCAACTTGATGCGCATTATTTGGGTCCGGTTTTTTGGCGACAATTTTCAAAATGCCAAGCCTACCGATACTAGAATTTTACCCAAATTTTAAACCTTTTTTTTCATTTTTTAATAAAACTTATATGCCATTTTGCATAAAATAAAAAAAAGTATCAGTATCTAGGCTAACCATAATATATATTTGCTAAAATAGATGTTATTCTAATTATTGTAGTAATTATCTTTATTTATTTATTCATATCATTCAATGCTCTCTTCCTCTAAATTTATTTATTATTAGTAAATAATACTTCAATTTCATGAATTCCTCTGGCAAAATCCTGAAATATTTAGCAGTATGAAGAATGCCATCACGAAATTTAGGCACAAATTTTTTATTATGCTGCAAAATAAATATAAATATTTAAAATATCATTAAAATATTTCTTTCTTTCATTAGCTGCAAAATGTCTGCAAAAAGCCTTTTTTTTACCAGATTGGTAAGATTCTAATTCAATCTTCAGGAGAAAAAAACTTATTATAGTTAAATAGTAATGCTTTGAGGTATATATTATATAAGTCATATGTAATTGCCAAATTTTTGTGTAATACTGTAATTAATTTACCTCTTAGCACAGCCAACTTGCATTATGCAGTTAGACTGGAATTTTCTTAAAACACACCTGGAAAAGTCAGGGAATTTCATTCTCCTGTTTGATTGGCAACTCTGTAAAAACCACTTCATGAAATAATTCAAAAGTCCAAAAGTATTTGATAATAAAATTAACAAAAATTTGATAAGTGTAACTTAGAGGCATTTACATTTTTTGAAGGTCTTCAGCATCTGTGCAGACATTTTTAATTATCAGAATCCAGTTCATAATGGTATTAGCAATTACGTTTTTAAAAATATTTGAATTCCAATGTATTAGTATTATGCTGTGAAAGTTAAAAAGTCATTTTTCATCAATTAGTTTAATTCTTTTATAGTTGAGAATTTTTAGGTCAAGGTAATCAATTGATTATTGGTATTGGTTTTAAGTTTTAAATATGCAGGATAAGTATCAGCAGTTTCTAGTTATCCAGAATTATTGAAATGGGTAATTAAAAGTAAGATTAAATTTTTCATTTTCAAAATTTAGCATGAAATTAAACTCTTGTACAAAAATAAATTGAATGAATAATTCATGTGCATAAATATTCTATTAATTTTTTTAAGATTTTATCTTTAAATTTCATAAAATTGTAGAAGAGTGAGCATTTAAGATAGGTAGTTCATTTTTCAAATTTAAGGATGCTAATTTTAATTTTAAATTTATGGTGGAAAAGTTTTCCAGAACTCAGTAATATCATTAAACTTGAAAACTAGGTTACCTATTTTCAGTGTTTCTGTCAAATTTAAAATCTTCCACCAGATTAATGGAATACCAATGAGCATGAACTATTCAACTTCAATTTGAAATCTACCTCTTTTTGTACAAGAGTGCAATTTTATGCTAAATTATGAGCAAAATGAAAAATTTAATCTTATATAGAATCATAGATGACATTATCGCTTTCAATAATTCAGGATTAATTGAAATTGCTAATATCTGTCCCAAGTGCATGAGTATTTTGACCAAACTTCTTAAATAAAAAGACTTTTTAATGTTCATACCATTAAACAAATCCAAATTTAAATATTTCTTATAATAATATATAAAATGTTATAAACACGCTTACACGTTCAGCGACACAGCCTTCACACTCTCAGGCAATAACGATGGAGACAGATTCACTGCAAAGCACCAGAGTACAGCTGCTTGGTCGTTCTCGGAACTCCACGTACTCTCGAGACTCTCTACGCTACAACTCGTGATACACAATAATATAGCTCTCGACTCGGCACCGTCTAAGACAAAACTCAATGATGCACTAATTCGCGATGCACTAAAAGACTCTCGATGCCCTCGACGACCAGCTCGGCACTAGACTTCAAGACACTCGCTCCATGACTGACTATCAACTCGCTAGACGAGGCACACACTAACTGACTGCGGACCAGCGGGGTTTATATAGCTTTCGGCTTTTGTTCGAGAACATTCTGGGCTAAACCCGTAAGAATTCGTTCTTGAAGGTTCTCCATCTGTCCATGGCATGTCGCTAAATGGGCAGTTTCTCACCAAATGTGGTAACCCTGCCTTCCCTTGCCATTTTATGGCAACCCTAAAGCTTCTTTGTGGGGAAGCCATCTTACCACGCCTGTACATTTCGTAACAATACTTAAACCAAATTTAAAGTCATTGACTAGATGCATAATAATTGTAATTATTCATGTAAGTATTACATAGGTAATAATATATGTGGATTACAAATATGTGAATATCACCCTCTATCTGTGTTACTAAAATATGGCCATATGTATTTTAGCCCTATTATAAGCCACTTTTACTGTTACTTACCTTTTCTGTTTTCATAAAAAATCCTTTTTTTTACCACACCACATACCATTACTTCCAAATGAAAATTATTAAATATAATTTATTTTTTCTTTTAAAACAGTTTAATTTCTGTGCTTAATATTAATTACTGTGTTTACATTCTTTAGCCATTTCATTTTTACAAGACATTTATTCAACTCGCCTCTAAGATTTTTAATTTCCATTTTAACTGATTCTGTTTATTTCATTCCATCACATCTTGGCTTACTGAATCTTTTTGTATACCATTCCAAGGGTTTTAGGAAAAGTATTTCATGTAGATATATGATTTTATTTTTCATATTTCTTTAATTTAATTCTTTTTTTTTTTTTTTTCAAAATTTGGGCAAACTTCCTTTTGCATTATTTCACAGATTTAGGCTATGCATAGTTTATTCTTTATCTCTTGAATTAGGAAATCTTATTTATGCAAAAGTTATCTTAATTTTTTTCTCTTTTTTTTGGGGGGGGGGTTCTTTTAGGTGAACTGCCTTCTTAAATAATTTAATTCTCTTTCCGTAATTTTTTACTTTAAAATTTTCCTACATTCCTCTCATTTAACTACTGATTGGCTCCCTGTAGAACAACACATTTTAACTGCTCATGCATGATTTCCCTTCCCGTTCATGGCATTTTCATTTACACTGCCCTGGGCCACATCTACACAATCTTCCTGCAGTTCCTTATCAAGGTATTCCTGTGATGCACTATATGTTACGTCTGCCCTAACCAAGGTTATTTGAGGTGCCTGTAATAGCAGGATATAATTCCTGCTGAAACAGTCATATCAAAAGCATCAAAGTATACACTGCTTTAATTTGCCTGTTGTTTCTCTGGTTTCTAATGTGGAATGTTCTAATTTTTATACTGTTTAATTTCCGTGTAGTATTATTTACTTAGTCATGTCAAAGCAAGTAATATATTGATTGTATATTAAAAATTTAAAAAATTATGCTTTCTTTATTACTTTCATTATTATTATTTAAAAAATTCAATTAATTTTTATTTATTTATTTTTTCCACTTTGAATTAGTTCATGCAGTGATTTTTATGATCATCCAGATATAATTAAAAATGTGGCTCAGTTGAAATTTTTGTGGCTGCTCGAAGAAGACCAAAGAATTTTTTATTTTAAATCATATTATTTTATTGAGTTGTTTTTGTTTTGATTTTGTGTTCTTTCTTTCAGCTTGTTAGCTACCACTTTTATGATTAAATTATTATGTCTTGATCGTATAATAAACCATACATGTTATCAAGAGGTATTGTAGTCTTTGTTAGCTACCAGGTTTTTATCTCGTGGTTATCTGTAAAGATACAAATGTCTGTTGATAATGAGATAAATTATTAAGTGCTCTTATTTATCCAGGGTCTTTCTTGAAATATCTGTTCTTATTCTTTTTAGAATCAACTGCTGCCTTATGTAAAATATTTTCTGAGAAATTTGTACTTCTGCAAGAAAAACTGAAGAAAAGCTCCTTAAAATGTAAGTGTTTATCTCATTGTTGCAGTGTATTTATAAATTATAGCTGCATCACATGCGCTTAAAGAAAATTATTATAGTAGTTCTGTTTGAAATGTAAAATATTACCTAGTTATTTCTAAAGTGACTGCCAGAATGTAATTCATCATCAAAGAATTATTTGGCTTCTTTAAGCAAAATCTCTAGTTTTTTATATTGTCCTTAAAATCTTTTTGCAACATTTACAATATTTTTGTAGCAAAAATTCCATTAAAAAAATTAGTGAATGATCTTTGCTCAGTTATTCACCATTTTCATAAATTACCAAAACAAGAATTCCTTATTTGTTAAAAACGAATTTATTTACAAGCAATAAAAGAAAATGAGATGCATAGTGTTTCTATATGTTGATGAAGATTATAACTTTTGGAAAAAGTATGCAAGAGTTTCTTGCTCATATTTATTAAAAATTAATTATTCCCAATGCTTTCTGGTCATGGTAGTACTTTATTTTAAACTCAAATGTTCTTTTCTTGTAATAGTTAAAATTTGTTTTTAACTTGCAATTTGATTGGTAACTTAATAAGCTAAACTGTTTAATGCTAATAGATGTGTCTTAGGTTGAGTTTCAGTTTTCATGAAGTATTTTGGTTAAACATTTGAGTAATTCCTTTTTACGTGATGAAAATAGAATTAACATGTTGAATTAATGAATAATGAACCGAACTGACTTGAGTTTGCAATCAAAAATATTAATTGAATATCAGTAAAACACCCATTTGCATTTAGCTACATGAACAGCTAGTGTATATAAGCCATAAATTATCCTGTACAACAGTTTCAGATTTAAGTAATAAAAAAGTGCCTTATCAATAGTATTTTAAATTCTCTTCTTATCAGTGCTTAATTTAAGCTGTAAAGTAAGCACTGATAAGAAAAATATACACTATCAATCGTTAAATACTGTTAAAACTGTTTAAAACACTATAAACCATTAAATGCTTTATTAAGGCCAGAACTTTCTTCGGCAGCTTTGCTCAGCTTTTGGAGTAATAATAAAATTAAAAGTAGGAGAACTGTCTTCTGCTAATTGGAACAGAGAATGAAATTATTACTTTGTTGCTTATGTTGCACTAAACTATAATTATAGCTTTATAACTAATTAAAATATGTATTAACTTTAAATTAAGGAAAATTTAATAAATATTTCAGTTATTTTATTGCTTATGTTATTACTTTATTGCTTATGTTATTACTTTGTTGCTTATGTTGCACTAAACTATAATGATAGCTTTATAACTAATTGAAATATGTATTAACTTTAAATTAATGAAAATTTAATAAATATTTCAGTTTTTTAAAAAGTAGCACAAAATTAAAGATACTAGCCAGGAAATTGAAAATGTGAAATTTGATCTAAATATGCAGCATTTCAAGTAATTAGCTATAAACCTGTATTTCCAGAATAATAAATTAATTAAATGGAATAGACTTTCTGATAATATTTCTGCTCATGCGAGATGTTGTAATGAAATTTTATGAAATTAAAAATTTTTATGGGAACATTCTATAAAGAATCCTTAACTATACTGAAGATTGTTCTGAGGAACTGAGTAAAAATATGCAGAATTGGTCTTAAGGAGAAGAGATTTTTCAAAATAATGTAACTTAAAATAAATAGTGTGCAAAATGACATTAAGGACAAACATATGATACCTTCAAAAACTTTTGTTTCTATTGTAATTAATAAAGCAAAATGTGAAGCATAAAATGAAGAAAATCTGTTAATTGCTATGGCAATTCTTGCTTATTTAAAAGTTATCTTCAAAATAATATTTTTCAATAGCTGTGTTTGTTGACATGCATTTACCCTTTACATTTGAGTTCCGAGTCTTTCATGTGACAGATGACTGTTAATACCAGAATTTATGCACAAGTGATTAAAATTTTAAATGAGTTTCTCTTCTAAAAAATTAAATATTTCCTCAACACTTCTCTTTTACTACTATAAAAATGCACAGATTTAAGGAAAATCAGTAACTTCTCCTCAAAATAAGAAAAAATATTATGAATAAAATGTAAAATCATTAAGCAGATTAATAGTGTAATGAATTATTCATTATAATAGTCAAAGTATTGGCATAAAAATTAGAAGTTCAGCAAGAAAATATTTCTTCGGCACCGAGTTGAAAATGAATACCAGATTTTATATGTAAATAACTGCAAAAACTGCTTGTGTAATTTTTGCAGAGTTATGTAATCAGGGTTCGTACGGTCCTTAAAAGTCCTTAATTTTTTCAAAAATGATTTTTGATCCTTAAAAGTCCTTAATTTTGGCCAAAATGAATAAACGGTCCTTAATTTTGCTCATTTGACATTTCTAATGATTGCCATTCTAAGTGTGAATTACGATTTCTCATGAATATGGAATTAAAATTACACGGCTCTTAACCAATCTGTTGGCGGATTTGCGTTGCAAACGATAAAAAAAAAAAAAAACAATTAGCTACCCGAACGAAAGTATCGGTGTCTGATTGGCTATTCACCCAATCTTTCGAAACAGGTGTTATCCATAAATTTAGGCAGATTGTGACGAAAGCGTGAAGCCAGAAGTTCTTTAAGAGGCGAAAGTGATGATGAAGGTGCTCGAGAAAAAAAAAGGGAGGGGGGGGATTCTGAAAATATTTGCCAAAATTAGAGCAATCCCAACCTGGAAGGCCACAACCCTTCCGACGCCAATAGGAACGAGATGCCTGGAAAGTGCATTTTCAATAAACTGTGGCTTCATCAAGCTGACTACAAAGACTGGATATTGATGGATGGCAATCCTTAAATAAATGCGGTCTTTGTCTGAAACAAATTGAAATTTCTAGAATGGGAGAGTCAGCGCTGAAAATTCACATGAAAATTAAGTTTCGTTTTATCATTTCAATTTGTTTTTACACGGTTTTGCTTAGCTTAATTTCTGTGTTTGTTTCAATTAAGCCATAAATTAATTTTTTTATCACCTTCTACGGAGTTTATTCTCTTTTGCACATACTATATGTATGGGATATCGGGATTATGAGTTTATTTCTGCAGAGGGTCTGTTATCGATTTCGCGAGAAATCTGTTGGCTCCATTTCGATTTTAGGTCGCCAAGGGCAAATTCGGTAACGCTAGCCGAGAAAAAGTGAAGTTCGGAAATACGTTTTGAAGCTTCAATAGACAATTAAGTATTTGGTTTAAACCTATGTTGTTGATATAATGCATAATTTTTGCTAATGGCGATACAATTATTAGTTGAAAATAACTAATTAAAAATTTTTTAATATTTTTAAAGCTGAAAACAACTAATTGAAACTAATTTTCCTGAATTAACTAGACGCAAAATTAACTTTCATGAATTACTAAAGTTATTGGGTAGAAGTTTAACTGAAAAATATACATTCCGTATTATATATATATATATATTTATACAGTTACAAAGTCCGAGGTCTGGACTCGTCGGGACTTCGGCGATCCCAGATTTTTTTTTCCGGATCAGAATTAGATAAATTAACTAAGATGGCACGTAGAAATTATAAAATTGAAAATATGAAATAATGAAGCATTTATGATTTAAAGGGTATCAAAATTTACAAAAGAAAAGAGCTTAATATTTATATGTTTACTTTATTAAACATTTCTTTCAATGTGAGTTGTTTGATTTGTTTCCTCTGCTAATACTTTAGACTAATACTATAGACATATAATTTCTTGTTCAGTTATTAAGTTCCATTGTTCAAGTCCTGTAATTGCTGTGTCGAGAATTCCGAATAACTTGTCAATCAAATATTTTTTCTTGTTCAGTAACCTCTCTGTTACTTTCTTCACTATCGGTAGCTGTATTTTCTGGATTTAGAACCATACTACAGATATCGCCCTCCGTTAATTGATTGATTGGGCATTGTCATTCGCAACTAAAAATTTCGCCTGCCGCCTGCGGCCATGCGAGCTCTCTGGCGCTGGTTCTGGCTTTATGTGAATAACAAATCAGTTATTCTTAATTCAAATAGCACTAAATATAATCGTTTGTCCTATGAGTATCATTAACAAAATCTATTTTTAGCATAAGGAAAGAAATTTCTGCTAAATCTCCCCTTGTCAACATTTTAGCGCATTAAACTTAAATCTGTAATCGGATAATACTCTATTTGGCGTCGCTGCATGATTCATCACTCAAGTTGTCATCCGTTGATAAACATGCGGTGATGAAAGCAAAATACAATAAATAATGATTCGCGATTTCGACATCAAGGATATAAAATATTAGTTGGTGTAAAATTAACAAATGTTTCGGTTTTTGAGATTATGCCAAGCAGATATGCAGCTATGGAGTCAAGTTACTAATCACACAAATTTATGCTAAAATAATTATTTCTTCAGTAATGAGATATTTTATTTAGCGCTAAACTGAGATTAAGAATCGGGATTTCCGACATGTTGCAAGAAGTGGAGTTCGTTATTTAGAAGTTCAGTATTTAGAAGAACAAAAATCTTTAACTAAATCTGAAAATTCAAAGAGGAAAAGAAATATTATTGAGGAAGAAATTGATTATATAAAGCAGAAGAAAAAATTTCTTTAAAGGGACATTAAAGATATTAATGAAGAAGTATATGCTTTAGCAGATGAAGCTGAGACCAGCAGGAACATTGATTTGTTTGTTAAAACAAATGAACTTATAAGAATAGTTAAAGAAAAGGAAATAGACATAAATAAATTAGATGTTAAAATAGCTGAAAAGATTTCAGATTTAAAAAAAGCACAAATGTTTTGTATCCTTTATTGTACAGTTTATTATTCTAGTATCTTTCAAAAAACCAAGGAAATAAATTGTATGTTTACAAATCAGTTATTTAATAATCTGCAAAATATTCTACATTGTGATTATATAGTAGTTGACTGTGTGTTTAAATAAATATCAAATAAGTTAAATAATAATCATGTAAATCTCTAAAATATGACTGTTTTTAGTGTAAAATACACTTATACATGTTTTTCAAGAAATTATGTTCCTAATTTAATGTTATCTACTTCATAACTTGTAGGGAGTTAGTTTAATTTTCAAAATTGTTTTATGGTAAGTATTAAATTGAATTTAATAATAGTGCATGATACACACTTCTGTTAGTTTCTTAAAGTGAAATTACATGCATGAAGTCAGTTGTATGGATAACTGCTTTATTCTATTAATTTTTTTGTTTGCTGACAGGTCCTTAATTTTTTCTTTAATGGTCCTTAAAAGTCCTTAATTTTCATGTAAGGAAATGTGTACGAACCCTGGTAATTTGTCATAATTTAAGCTGTAAACTACGTCAACATATTTCAGTGCAAAAAATACATGTTAAAAGAATACTGTTCAAAAAAGTGGCTACAGTTTTATTTCTTTAAGTATTGGTCCTAGACATGTATTTCCAGTTACAAAATTCAAAATAAAATAGAGAATTTTGCAAAACTGTTTTCAACGATTGTGTTAACTTTTTTATACAATCCCCTCAACTCAATAAGTCTAAATAGTGAAATGTTTATCATGCTTTTGTGAGTTAAGAATAAAATTTCCATACATTTATATACAAAATTCGACGACATAGTTTAATTAGTTGGTGCAGCCAGCTACAAAATTAATATCTTGTACTATTTTACCCAATATACCACCAAGTGATTTTTATTTTGTATTTATGATAGCATAATAAACATATCTCTAGTTTTGCTCTCTGTGAACCCATGTTAAAAGGTAAATTTTTTCAACCTTTTTATCTGCAGTGTTGAAACTGCTTTCATAAAATCCCCTCCCCCCCTTTTTTTTACTTCCTTATTTCAAGAAACTTTGAAAGTGGAAGTAGGTGTCCTGTATTTAAGGAAATTAAGTTTAATGCAATGTTTTTGAACATATGCATATATCAAACATATCCTAAGTTACTTATTAAATGAAAGTTCTTCACTAAATCAATCCCTCTTTGGTAGATAGCTCTCCCGTATTTTGCCATAGTTAAATTCAGTATCTGTGTCAAGTGCATTGCTGAGATATCATATGTACAGTTTAAGTTTTATTCATCAGGCAGCTGGAACTTGGGATATACATTTGCCCCATTTTATTGTTTCATTTTCATGTTAAGCTCCCCCCTTTTTTTTTCCATATTTGAATGTACTGGAAATTGATTTCATTATTTATACTTCTTAATCAAGTCTCTCTGTTTATTATTAATTTTAGTGACTGAAATCCAGAATATCAACTGGCAAGTAGATTATATACTTTGGTCAAGTGTTTTGAATGAAGTGAATGACCCATCAGTCAAGCTGTGCTTGGAAGTTAAAGATTCTGATTCATCTGAAATCAAGTTACATTCGTTTAATATGTCATCGAGCAAGTTTCTTCTATTGCTGCATGGTAAGTTATTTTATATTTCTCTCGTACTTTTGTGTGTGTGTGTGTGAGAGAGAGATAAAGGGAGCTTTTAAGAGAGTAATGGAACTTTTTTTTAACACTGCATTGTTGAGACAGCATATTGATTAAACATTAGCATACACCAAAGTTTGAAAATTTCTAATTCATAGTTAATAGAGCATAAAAATGTCATCATATTTGTAGTTTAATTTTATCAGCGGGTGATCAGTCATAAAATGTTTTCTGTGGCTGTTAAAATTCCTTAAATTTATTTTTCCTCTTTTTAGGTTTTTAGAAAGTCTCTTTAGTGTTTTGTAAAATATCCAGATGGATAAGATGGAAATACTTCTGTTGGGAGACGTGGTCATAGTTTATTCTAGTTGTCATGTAGATAAACCAGATTTTAGATTATACCTTCAAAATTTAAAGAAGAATTTAAAGAAAATTCAAAATTCAAAATCTCAGCTAAAGACATTGTAATAATCTCATTTAAGAATTTCTACTCCACTACATTTCACTGTGAGGTTGACATAGTCTGATAAATAGCAATCCCTGGGCAGTGGTCATGTTCATACATATTGATCAGATCAGTCAACATGTAGCATGATTTCTCAGTCTACAGGATGTTCTTTCATTTTGTTTTTCATGGTGACATGCTTCACACAACTGTTGTCTACAGTGTTTCATTCAATGATCATTGGCTTTTATGATGCAGCTTTACTGCAGGAAGATATTTTGAAAAATGTTTGAAGAATTGCTATTGCAGTTAAGCTGAGCCACCTCCCGGTTTAACTTCCCATATATAAGAAGCATCACAATTCCAATCTCAATATTTGTGGCTTCTCTGATTAAAGGTGGAATTTTCAACTGTCTTGGATTTCCATTTTAGCACTCTTCCATTACTCATTGTTGCATATGGTGTCTGGAACTATCCAGAAATCTCATAGATGAAATGACCAAATTCTTAATCACTAATGACCATGCCTTGTTGTACTTCACTCAACTTGCATAGTGATCGTAATTATTTTGAAAATGATACTTATTTACAGTGAGTAGGAATTATTCACACAAGAGTGGTTATGCAAAATGAACTATTGTTTTCTCTGTCTAATTCTGTTGAAACTCTTTCAAAAGATGATAACTAGTAAAAGACATTTACCAAATGTGAGTGCCTCGCCCCCAAAAAAAAAACAGAAAAGACATTGAATTAGTTTTTTTATGGGAAACTAAAAATTGAGGATCTATTGGCATGTAAAAAGTATCTGTATGTATATTCAACCAAATGCAAAATTTTTGTAGCATTTTCTAATTGGTCGAGTCAGTTTTCCATTGATAAATGACATCATTTTATCTTGTGGTTTATGTGAAATGACTGGGTGTAGTTTTAAATGTGATAATAAATATAAAATTTTAATATGGGTTTGTAAAGGTAAAGAAATGAATGTTTGCAAAAGAGAATTAGTATTAACCCCTTAACTGCAGTGGGCGTATATAAATGCCTTGCTTAGCCAATGCATTAACACGTTCCCTGCCAGACCGTTTTTTGAAGACTTCCCGTTCAGGCCGCATGGGGCACAATTTGTATGCCTTACAATAATTAAAATAGCGCAAAAATCATAATTATCAAGGAAAGGTTGTATAGTTTAACATGCATAACACAACAAACCAATAAATTTATTTTTCTAAGAATTAGTTTAACAAAGACCTAGCTGAACAGTACTATGCCAAGCAAGTTACATCCTCACATATAATTTTTTTTATCGTACGTATATCAGTTTTAAATGAGCGTATTAAAATCATCAGCAGTAGTATTAAGATGCCCATAATTGACTGCATAATGAATTTTTTAAAAATTCTTCATTTTACAATGATAATACCAAATGGCTTGAACGGAAACTTTAGCGTGGGGCGCATACACCCCACGCGGCAGGGAACGTGTTAGCTGCAACGGGCGTATATACATACGCCCTTCCAAACTTTTGCGTTGCACTGCTACCCATAAAATTATTCACAAAGCTTTGGAATGCAATGCCACAATGACCTTGACAAAGTTTGCAAAGGAGGATACTATTTCAGAGACATGTGGGGAGAAATTGGAGAGAGAGGAGTGTGTCTAAAGCGGTGAAAGTAATGACTGCGCAGTATCGGCTGGGGTTGTTTGAGTAAGACATTTTTTTTTTTTATTCTGTGTCCTCCGTTTTCATTTACTTTTTGTAGTAGGTTCCAGGAATAAAGAAAGATATAATGGATGTTTCTAACCCATTTATCTTTTTTGAATTATTTTTTGATGAACTGCTCGTGCTTCGTATTGTTACTGAAACTAACCATTTTGTAGACGAGTATATAAACCAACATTTTGCAAATGAAAAATCAAGAACAAAATTGTGGCATTCAACCAGTTCGGAAGAAATATATGTTTTTTCAGGCATACTGATTTCACAAGGTATTACGCTGAAACCTGATATTACACTTTACTGGTCTAAAAATGAATTGATCAAAACTCCATTTTAGGGATCCTTTTTATTATAAAAACATCATTTTTATTATACTTGCATCTTTTTATTATTCTTTTACTCAAAACATTAAATTTTGTGGATTCATTTTTCCTTTTATTCTTTATTTTGTGAAAGTAAACACTTTTTAGAAAGTAAAACTTGCACTTATTTTCCCCCTAATACATCCCATAAGTACGCATGCCTGTGTGAAAAACCATGGCACTGGGAAATGAATCTTGTATGATTTCCATGGCAGTTAAGGGTTCAGCCTTCACAAACATGTTAAATCGTACAATGAAATTTCAGTTAAGTTGTAAAATGAAAATCATTCAGCATAATATACTTAAAAGTCCTTAGGCAGATGTTTCATTCACTTCTGGTTCCAGTATAAAGAAGGTCAGGTCATCATTCTTCATGTTAATCTCTATTATACTATAGCTATTTCTTCAAGTTCTTTTGTTAGAGGTTTAAGAATAAAAATTTTGCTACGGATTTTAAATTTTACATCCAAATTTAGTGAAACATTCCCAAAATCTGATTGTGCTGTTTTGAAAGAGGGAAAAATATTTTAAAAAATGATAGCATAATAATCCCTTTAAATGGTTCTGAATTTTAAAAAAATTGTGTTTTTAATATTATTTCATAATTTATTCTTAATGATTTTTAATATTTTTGTATCTTTAAATTGTCTTTGGCATCATGAGAAAAAGTTAGGAATTCTTTATCAAAATTATAAACGCTTACAAGGTTCAAACCTTCAAATATGTCTGAAGAAAAGTCTGAAATTGTTTTCTTGGATAAGGAAGTTTATGTGTCCTGTATTTGATGCTATATATTTAAATTATTTTAGCAATCATGGGTAAGAAATTTATTAATTCTTCATCTAAATTATAAAAGCTTGCAAAGTCTAAAACTTCAAAAATGTCTCTTTCATAAAGAAACATTTCTGACCTTTATTTTATCGTACTGAGTGTAAATATGTTGTTTATAAATGACTTATTTTTTTTGAAAAAAATATATTGTAAAAAACATTTCTGAAGAAGATTAACTAAAGTATAATCCCCGATTTTTTAGAAGGCAAGGTCTTGTCATTTTATATTTCCAAATGTATCAAAATTCTGCCGTAGATTTTATTTGCCTCAAAATCTGGTCTGGAGAAATGTCCAGCCTCGAACATTGAAATATCCAAATTTGTAATTTCCATCATTGAATTTTAATTCACCTCCAGCCAATCAAATTCAAACTTCACTTTAAAAATGATACTGATAATTTTAAAATTCTCAAAAATAAAACTTCATGAAAATTACTGTCTGTTTCTAAAGGTCTTCCTGTAACTAATTAAACTTTCATGCAGAATTGGCAGATGAAGTGAAGATGTGGCATTTTAGTTGGAAATTCTCATTAGAATTATTTATTGTAATCATCATATGTTAAATCATCATATGTTTAAATTGCAGTTAAATTTTACTAATTATGAGGTATATCAATTTAAGAAAATTGTAAGTAAATGTATGCATTTAAGTAGTAATCCTTTTAAGAGTAATTTGTTGTATTTAAGAGAAAATACTGAAAATAAAAAGGATTGTTTTAATAATGTTGAAAGAAAGAATGGGTGAGAAAAATCTTGTGTAAATGAATAGTTGAGAAAATTATTAAATGAATATAGCTATATATTTGCAGAAAGTAAATATAATGTGGGTTGTATTAGTATTCAATCTCTAAAAGTGATATTAACTTCAGAACTTTCTTGAAGCTTATAGACCATATAGGGCATCCCCCTAAGGATGAAATGAATTAATGAATGAAATTTTAAAAAAGTACAAGAATTATTACATGCAGGTAGTCATAAAACCATTGTTTAGCCCTTATGCTGCCCCTTTAACTTAAGCCTGTAAAAGAGATGAAAATGCTAAAAATAGATTTATATTGATTAAAGGAAACTTGATCAAATTACTGAAACAGTTTTGAAACCCATACCTATAATAGATGCCATACTTGACCAATCAGCAAATGCAAAAGTGTTTTCTACATTAGATCTAGCATCTGGTTATTAGCATATAAATTTAAATATAAAAGATACTGAAAAATTAGCTTTTACAATCAATTTTGTTTATTCTTTATGAATTTTACAGATTGCCCTTTGTGGTTAAAAAATTCCCCAGCTGTTTTTCAAATAGCTTATAGACAAATTTTAAATAAATTTCAAATTAAGTTTGCTTTAAATATATTGATGACATGTCAGTACAGTACAGTCCCACAAACTCGACATAATGTGGACTAAGAGACTGTCGAGTTTTACAGAATAAGGGGCGAGTTTTTCAGAACTCTTTTAATATTTAACTGTAAATTACTCTAGACTTTTGTAGCACAATATTGAACATGGAAAAGTATGGCATAAAATTAAATTAATGTTGATTTTTTTATGTCGAGTTCTAGCACAATAGGAGTAATAAAAAGAACAAATACCCTAAAGTAACTGAGTAAAAAAACTTACAAAAATGAAGAATT